GGAAGAGAAAAATTGTTCTCTTTCCAGATAGAGGTTAACTGCTTTGAGTGAAACAAGAGTGCAAAAGAGAATTGTGGGGAAACCACATTAAACAGAGCAGTCAGAGAAGGTTTCCCAAGAAGGTGACTGAGCCGTGACTTAAGGATGAAGAGGATCAAGTTGTGCTTGGGAACAGCCTAAAGGAAGAGAATTCCAGACAACAGGAAAGGCAGCAAATGCAAAGGCCCCAGGTGGGCGGGGAATGAGGTTTGTGTATTTGAGGAATGATAGGCCTCTGACTAGACTGTGGGAGGCAGGAGGCGGGGGAAATGGCCTGGAATGAGGTTTAAGGGCAGGAGCCAGGTCCTGCAAGGCCTTCCAGGCTTGGATTTTATTGGGAGTGCAATGGGAAACTGAGCTTCTAAGCAAGTCCCCTACTCCCTTCAAAGCTCACCGAATTTTCTACACCCTTCCTCCACCTTTTGTCATTTTCCCTTTTCGTAGCAGAGTACTAGATTGAGTTCCCTAAAGGCAAGGATCTGGCAGATTGGGAGGAGCTGCACCTGCCTCACACGGATGTTGCAATAATCCTGGAGATAATGACTGTTGACAAAAAGCACAATCCCTGGCACCTGAGGAATCCTCAGTAAAGGTCAGCTGAAGTGAAGTCAAGTAGAATTCCTTCTGTCGACTTCCCTCTGCAGAACTGGGAGGCGCGCCTGTTGCTGGAGAGATCCCGTGCTGCCAAGTGCCCGGACATCGCCACGCAGCTGGCTGGAACCAAGAAGGTGCAGCAGGAGCTGAGCAGGGCGGGCGTGCTGGAGGGGCTGCTCCCTGGCCAGCCCCAGGCTGTGGCCCGCCTTCGTGCCACCTTTGCTGGCCTCTACTCACTGGACATGGTGCGTGAGCAGCCCCCTTCCCGACCACAGACTTCCTGGTGGCGGAGGAGCCTCCTGTGGTGGGGAGACCGCAGCTGGCACTGTGGCTGGCCTGGTGACTTGCGTGTCATGTTCTGGAGAATCCCTCAAGCCTTGGGGGTGGGGGCTAGCCTCACGATGGGAGGAGGACATGGGAGGCATCCATTATAAGCTCCCTCAGCAGAGGTGGAGATGAGGATGGCCTCTGGGGGAAGGAGAATATCTGTACCCACTTTGCACGCTTCGTGCTGCACAGCCCTGGGTTGCCAGAGGAAGACTTGTTCTCATTGTGTTTGCTGCTGCAAGGGGTTTGTTGGGAGTCCCATCCAGATAGAAGTGTCCAGCCTGAAGGGGCTTATGGCTGTTCTCTCCCTGCTGTTTCTCTGATACTGCTGGACATGCCTAGCAGGGCCCCAGCTCCTGCCTCTTGGGATCTGAGATGGCTTTCTGCCTCCTGCCAGGGTAAAGAAGGGGACCAGGCCATCGCTGAGGCCCTTGCTGCCCCCAGCCGGTTTGTGCTAAAGCCCCAGAGAGAGGGCGGAGGTAAGTGGATCCACCCCCCACCCCTGCAGTAATGCTCAATGAAAGAGGCCAACAGACTGTCCCCAGTGCTCACTCGTACATCCTATGAGCACAGTTCCAGGCTTGGGGGATCCAAGGCGAAGTGACAAAGGCCCACGCCACATAATGTCCGCCAAGATCCTGTGACTAAGAGCCGTAGAGCACCGGGGAATCTGATGAACCAGGATCGGGGAATTTGGACATGTTTAGTCTGAGGTGCCTGTGGTAGATTGTGGGGAAGTGTGCGGGGCACTTCAGGCATACGTCGTGCTGCCTAGTGTTAACTCCTTGAGGGCAGGAATCGCGTCTGCCTCACAGATCCAGAGGAGATGGTTTCAAGGGGTGAGTAGGGTTTTCCCAGTAGAAAATAAAGAGGAAGAGTATTCCATAGAGAAGGAACAGCCTCAGGCAGAGTGCCCGGCGTGAAAGCGTGGTGCGCTTGGAGGTTAATGAGGAACTGCTGAGCTGCAGTAGGAGACGGGAGGAGGCAGGGATTCGGGCTGGAAATGTTGTTTGGGACCTGATTATAAAGGGCATCGAAAATATGCTAGGAAATTGTATTTTATCCTAAGGATAGTGGGAAGCCATCAGAGCATTTTAAGGAGGGAAGGGACACATGATTGACCCAGGGTCCAAGTGCTCAGCAGTGGTGAGAACTTGCAAAACTTACAGTGGTTCAGCCATACAGCCCTGGAATGAAGGGAGACATTGGTGGTAGCGAGACCAGGGAGCAGGCTGAAACGGTTGTCCAAAAGACCAGTGTGGAGGCTGGGCTAGGGCCATGGCTGTGGAGCGCAGACTGGTGACACATGGCTGAGTTAGTGACAGGTAATGGAGAGGGAGGAGTTAAGTATGAGCCAGGGATGCCTTTTGCCTGATGGGACTAGGAATGTCCAGGAGAGGCAGGTTCAAGCAGAAGTAACACGTTTTTGGGGGAATACGGAGTTTGCTTTGGGAGCCTGAGTGCCATTCTTATGATCTCTGGAGCAGGAACTTGAATTAAAGGGGAGTTAACAGGGTATAGGTGGAGCCTTGGGAATGGAAGAGAGCAACCTGGGAAACCGACCTGGAGGAGGAAGCAAGGGAAGAGGACCGATTCCCAGTGAACAGAGGAGGCAGTAGTGGAGGCTGAGAAGGAACAGCCGTAGACAGTGTAGGAAGGTGTGATGGAAGTTGTTCCTCCTCAAGGACCGAATGTGCTCTGGGGGCGGCGGGAACCAAAGCTCTGACTTCCTCACATGGCCCCAGGAGCGACGGCAGGGGGTTGAGGAAGCGGGCAGAGCCAGGGTGACTGGCCAGTTTCATTGCAGGTAACAACCTGTATGGAGAAGAAATGGTGCAGGCCTTGGAGAGGCTGAAGGCCATCGAGGAGAGGGCCTCCTACATCCTCATGGAGAAGATCGAACCTGAGCCTTTTGGGAATTGCCTGCTTCGGCCTGGCAGCCGCGCCCGGGTGGTTCAGTGCATCTCAGAGCTGGGCATCTTTGGAGTCTATGTCAGGTGAGATAGTCAAGAGGAACTTCTGCCACTCTGTCCCTGCAAGAGTGACTGCCAAGGGAGCCTAGCGGGGACACTGGGAAGAATCAGGACTCCCAGGCTCCTGTTCAGTTCTGCCAATCCCTATCATTGTCACCTGCTGTGTATCTATTACGTGAGGCCAAGAACCCAAGACCTGCCCCATCTCACAGGGCTATCAAATGCAGCCCAGATGAAATGGCTTTGCAAGTATAAAGGAAATCCCAAGTAGTAACCAAGAGGACTGAGAAAAGTCTGATAATCCAGGACTAGAAGGAGACTCCAGGGAAGAAGAGAGCTTGGATCTAGCTCCAAGACCACCAGGGATTCTGGAAAAAGGTGAGCTGGGCCAGCTCAAGGAGACTTAGTGGTTAAGAGGACTGAGTGGCCCTGGGTTTGGAGTTGAGCACTAGAAACCAGAAGAGAGGAAGACATGGGATTTTGTAAGGAACATTTCCTGGTCCCTCATACCACTTCCTGTAAAATACTCACTTGAAGATCAGGGCAAGGTGGGGATACCAGATTCCTCCATGCTCCCCACATAAGTCTGCCCTCTACAACCTCACCATCTAACCATTCGCAGTATCTCTGCTGTCTGTTTCCCTCCAACTATCACCACCACCACCACCACCACCACCACCACCACCACCACCACCACCACCACCACCATCACCACCATCATAGCCATCTTGAGAGAGAGGCAGAGAAGGAATTCATAGCTAGGGACATGAAGTGTAAGTCTGGCATCAAGCTAAGTACTTTTCCTGCTTTATTTAGTCCCAGCGACCATCTTGCAAAGTAAGGGGTTTTATCTCTGTTCTAAGATAAGAAGATTGGTATTTAGAAAAACTAAGGAGTTTGCTCCAAGTTGAAGAGCTAGTAATTTCCAGGCTAGGATACAAATGCAAATATGACTGCAGATCCTAATGTTTTCTTGGGTGTAGTCAGTTACACTTGTAGTGCCTAGCTGGGACCAGGGAAGGTCCTGGGTTTGAGGGCTGAATCGAGGTGACGTTGTGTCTCTGTCCTGTTTCTACAGGCAGGGAAAGACACTTGTGATGAACAAGCATGTGGGGCATCTACTTCGAACCAAAGCCATTGAGCATGCAGATGGTGGTGTGGCAGCAGGAGTGGCAGTCCTGGACAACCCATACCCTGTGTGAGGGTACAGCCTGGCCAGCCTGGACTTTGCTCAAGAGACCCTCTATCCCCTCACTTGTCATTCCTCTCCTAGCCTCCCTCCCACCTTGGGAGGGCTGATGTCTTCTAAAGACCTCTCAGGTCTTCAGGGAAGGGAAGTGCTGGGTACCTTCTCCCAGCTCTCCTCCTAAGGACCAGAAAAGATTTGTTTCCCTTAGATGAGCTCTAGAAGCTCTCAAATACTTGGAGTATGGGAAGGGAAGTTGCTCTGAGATAAAGGCGAACACTGGCACCTTCCTGTTTGCCCATTGTCAGCCTTTCCAGCAAGTTTCAGTGCCTGACCTGGGATGGGACCAGGCAGCAGGAGGAGGGGGGTGGAGGGCAGCACCTTTTCCTGACTCTGCCTTAAATAAAACGACATTGCTGACTCAGTGACTTCTTGCTTTGTACGTGGTAGGGAGCAGCTGAAACCTAGATCAGCTCACTTAAGATGGATTGGAACAAGGCAGGTGACTGGGATATAATTAGGGTCTACCTCAGCCTAGACCCTATGGGTAGGTTCCTGAAATTCCGATTCCTAGTCACATACTAATGTTCCCACAGGATCATGGGGAGGAGACAGGGTCCTTGGCGGGAGGCCAGAAAGGAAGGCAACTGTGAGGAGACATCACAGTTGTCAGCTGGCTTCACTCACTTTCCAGCTTAGCTCAGTGGCCTGTCAAAGGGTTTGTGAGTAAAGCCCTGCCTGGCTCTGCCCAAATCAACAGTTTAAGAAGAAAATATGAAAGTAGTTGTAGGGAATACCTCTCCCGGTCACAATGTGCCACACGGATCAGAGCAACTGATAGCACACAGCTTGAAAAATGCCTAAGAAAACACGTCACCGCCTTTTTGAGGTCACAGACTTTATTCCTACAACCACAGGGCTTGAGGACACACATCAACACATCTACTCCTTCAAAGAAGTAGATGATCTGAAAACCCTCTCGGAACCTGCCTGCACAGCGCCTGAGGCAAATGGGCAGATAGCATTGCCATCTGGCACAAAAGAAAGTTCAGACCCAGAACACAATCAGCCATGTATTCAAGAAATAATGGCCACTTATTCCTGGACTCAAATTTAAGGGCAAGTGTGTGCCCAAGGTAAGTACTGGTGCTTCCTGAGAGAGTTGATGTGGATGACATAGCTGTCTCCCTTCTTCAGTCTACACTCTCACTTGCCCTCCAAACACTTGGGTTGGAGACATGGCCTTCAGGTCCCTGCCCTGGGCTCTGGGAGCTCTTTGCAGTTTGGAGACACAGGAGTCTGAGGCAGTGTCCCTTCTGCCTGGTAGTCACAGGAAATTGTCTCTACCCAGGGACAAAGTTGGTTCCTGGTCCCAGACAGCTGGTTGAGGGAGGTGGTTGGGTCAGCACTGGCCCTCGGCACTCCTGGATGAGGGCAAGGAGGATGGGCAGAACTTTGGAGAGCCAAGTGGAGGGAATCGGGAAAAGGCAGAGTCTTGTTCACTGGATGGTCAGGCAGCGGTGGGTGAAGAGGTGACTGATGACAGACGGGTCAGCCACAGTAGATGTATCCCCCAGGTCATGGTCATTCTGAGCAATCTTCCGAAGCACTCGTCTCATGATTTTCCCTGGGGGACCACAGGCCTCTCGTTACTTGGTGACATCACTAATGCACCCCATCCCACCACCACCAGGCCTCAGCCAGCCCCAATCCCTGGAGGCCTCTAAACATACCTGAGCGGGTTTTAGGCAAGCCAGGTGCATTCTGAATGTAGTCTGGTGTGGCAATAGGGCCAATCTTTTCTCTAACTGTAACCAACAAATCAAACATTTCCTTAGCACCCTTAACCAGACTCCCAAAACCAAATAGAGATGGCTTTGCTCCCCACCTGTTTCTTCTTTAAGAAAAACAGACTCCTTGCCCATAGAGTCATTCTCAGCTTCACTGCCCCTGTCTCTCTCACTCTTGCTCTATGGCACTGTCTCTTTATTCTCATTGTATCTTAACTTTAAGAATGCCGGCTCTAGAATCAGCCTGCTAGAGTTAAAAGCCCATCTTTCTAGCAGTGGGCAAAGGACAATTAAGTTCTCTGAGTCTTAGCTTCTTCGTTTTCAGAATGAGGCTAACAGTAGGATCTGTTTCACAGTGGTAGTGGTAGGGATTAATGGGGTAATGAACCTAAAGCATTTGAAAGCTCAGTGATCGCAAAGAGAGTATTGTCAATGCGGGCTATTATAATAGCGGAGACGGCTGAGCAGGGGTCTGTCACTGCTGGGGGGTTCTCTAGTTCTTCCTCAACAACTTGCAGTGGTAGCTATGTATGTGTCCAAGACAGACTGTGCAGTCCCTGCCCAGGGAGGCGCCTCACTCTGTTTCTTGAGTTCTTCCGTGAGGGTAGAGTTGAAGGTGTGGCCATCACAGAGGGTGACAAAGCAGTAGAGGCATTCGCCCTTCACAGGATGAGGGTGGCCCACCACGGCCGCCTCTGCAACAGCCTCGTGTTCCACAAGCGCTGACTCCACTTCCGCTGTACTTAGCAGGTGTCCTTGCCAAGGGAAAGGAAGTACCATGAGAGCGAGCCAGCCTCTGCCCCAGCCCCTACTCCGTCTGTACCCACAGCGAAGTCTTGGTCTGGTCAAATGGGGAGGGTCCTCACGTGACATGCTTCCAGTTACCCCACTGTTCCCACATCCTTCCTCTGGACATAATCCAAGGTTCATCACTTCTTCCAAAACCCGAGCCTGAAACTGAATACCACCCCCCACCCCACCCCAAAGTCTGGCCAAAGGGCAGTTCTGACTCTCTTGGAAGGCTTTGGCTGGAAGTTGCTGAGGACAGCAGAGCTAATGAGATGGGAAGGTATTCCAGGCTCTCACCAGATACATTGAGCATGTCATCAATCCTGCCAGTGATCCAGTAATAGCCGTCCTGGTCCCGCCGGCAGCCTGGGAAGAAATGCTCACAACATAGTACCCAGCATGATCCGTATTAGCAAACTGCAGCAGCCTTCTAACAAGTCTTCCTGCTTATGCTCTTGCCACTGTGGCCACCAGACTCCCAGATGGCCCACTGATCTCCACCTCTTGGTATTCAAAGCCCTGTGGAGACCTCTCATGGGATTAGTCTGTGTGATCCACAGAATTTGGCAGAAGGGATAGGATGTCATTTCTGAGATGATGTTATGGAAGACACTGTAGCTTCTGTCTTAGTTGCATTATCTCAGATCATTTGCTGTGGGGGAAGCCAGCTGCCACATGAGGGAGTATAGAAGTGATTCTTCCTGGCTTAATCAAACTTGCAAGTGGCTTTCTACCAACAGCTCAAGTGCAACCCACAAGAGACCCTGAAGCACCCAGGTAGGCTGCTCACAGATCCCTGATCCCCGGAAACTATGTGAGATAATGAAATACCTGTTTTAAGCTGCCAGCTTTTGGGGTAATTTGTTCCATGGCAACACATCACTAGTGTACCCATCTTGAGTCTGTTCTTTATTGATCAAGCAGAGTTTTTTCCTAAGCAGTAAATCAGTTCCTATTGCTCCCTTGCTTAAAACCTGTAAAGGTCTCCCATTATATTTTGCATGAAATCCAAACTCCTTGCCATGGCCCACAAGAGCCTATCTTGTCTACCTCTTCAATTTCAATACAGTGTTCTTCTCTGTGTGCTCCAGCCAAACCGAAGCTCATCCATTCCTCAGACATTCCAAGCTGGTGTCCTTCACATACCCTTACTCCAGGTTTCTCTGCTTTGTTCCTTCTCACCCTTCAGATTTCTGCTGAAATGTCACTTTAGAGAAGCCTTCTCTGACCACCCCTTGTACAGCAGCCAATTCTGCAGGCATGTTTATCATAGTGTCTTGTTTTTCTTCATAGCACTTATCTCTAAGATAAGTTTCTTTACTTGTTTGCAAGTAAATACTAGAATGTAAGCCCTTACTAGAATGTAAGCCCAATGAGAGCAGAAATCTTGACTACATTAGTCATGGTAATAACTCCTGTGCTTACCCAGTGCCTGGACATAGTAGATGCTCAATAGATATTTATGGACAAGTGGATTAGTGGGAAGGCAGAAGGACAAACACAGGCTCCAAACATGGGGATACACATGACATCATAATGTACATGATCCATTTCTTTCAGCAGAAGGACAAGAAATAAAACCTTCCTCATATGTAAAACCTCAGATGCCAACAACTTGAGACCCTTCCTGCAATACTCATTCCTGCTCCTGTAGTCATCTCTGTCATTATGCCTGGACACCAGACACTGACGTGTAAGATGTTCCTCTTTCCTGTCTTCACCCCTAACCAATTCTTCCTGGAATGAAAGGGTAAGGCACATGTCTTGGTGGGAAGTGGAGGAAGACAATGGCCAAGGCTCACCATCTCCTGTCACGTAGTACCCAGGAAACTTCTTAAAGTAGGTGGTCTCAAAGCGTGCGTGGTTCCCATAGACTGTGCGCATGATCCCTGGCCAGGGCTGCTTGAATACCTGGGCAGTGAGGAAGGCACAGTGACCACATTTGCTTTGCCGTCTCAGCGGAAGACAACCACAACTTTGCTAAACCTGAAGGGAAATGTCCTGAATGTAAGTCCCAAGAAGTAGCACAAAGTCCAAGCTTTGGAAATGGTTGCTCCTGGCTTGAGATCCCAGCTCTGCCACTCACGAGTTCTGTGACCTCAGATCCACAACTTGACCTCTCTGAGCTTCAGGAGCCTCATACTTAAATTAGAGAAAATGATTTCTATCTTTCAAAGTAATTGTGCGGAGGACTAAGTTAATATGTGGAAATTGTTAAACACAGTGTTCTGTCAGCGATAAGCATTTAGTTATTTTGAGTCTCCTTTTGGGTAATGCCTCAGGAAAGCAACTGCAGTCTGATACAGATGAAGACAGTCATGAAACCAAAACTCCCATATTAGTAAATAATTATTGCCTAATCAATAATGGTTTTGTGGCAGCGGATTTGATGGGTTGGGCAGAATTCTAGGCGAAGAGTCGTAAAACCTGGACCTCGGTCTTGCTCCATTTACTAGCTTGGGAACGTGAAGCGGGGTATGGTTGGGGTGGGGGAGGGTAGGTGAGGTGCCTGCACGTACCTACACAACAATCACGACAGCTACAGATTAGCTGTTAGGTTCTATATGAACCCCTTCATATGGATTGTCATTTAATTAAGCAAGCAACCATGGGAGACAAAGGTACTACTTTAAGACTATTTTACAAATGAGAACATTTAGATTCAGAGGGGTTAAGTAACTTATCTGAGGTCACAGAAGAGGCAGAGGCAGGATTTGAAATCAGGCAGGCTGACGCCAAAGCCTGTGAGATTTTCATTCTGTTCTGAAGCTTCTTTTCTCTAGACTGCTTGTCAAAAGAAAAGCCTCCTCCTCTGTAAGTCTTCCAGACACAAAATGATGCCACCAGGAATCTTTGGGCTGACTCTAAAGAGGCTCTTAAGGGTTAGGGTTAGGTTAGGGTTAAGAGCCTCGTGGGCCAAAAGGCAGAGATGCAGGCAAAGTATCCAGAAGGATTCTCCCTGGGGACTCACAGGACAACCCCCCACCATGGAGCAGCCATCTAAGCAGCTACCAGGAGACATTAGGTTATAAACTCTGCAGCAAATTACCCTTGGTGGACCCTCTCCTCCTCTCCTCAAAGACCCCCAAAGGCCAGGGCCTCACCAGATAACCTTCAGCTTCACCTTCCAACTCTTCCCCAGACTCATTCAGGATTGCAGGAGCCACGCCAAAGAATGGGAAGGACTGGAAAGAAATGGGAGACAGGGTCCAAGAAGAGGAAGGAGCAATTTGACTCAACTCCCAGGGAGACTAAGACCCCCGAATTCCTCACACATCACTCCAGTTCCCCCACTCTCTAGCTAAGCCAAGTGCCCAAGGCCCTAGCCCTAGCCCGGGAACAGTCAGGGGAGCCCTACTCACAGCAGAACCAGGCTTCATGGGTGTGGCACCTGGGAGGGGAGTCAGCATGTGGCCACCCTGTGGAGGTCAGAGGTCAGGGGTTTGAGTCAGTTTCCCCACATTGTCCCTGAGCCCCATCCTTCTGAACCCTTCACTCACCGTCTCTGTTTGCCAGAAGGTGTCCACGATGGGGCAGCGCTGGGCACCTACCACCCGATGGTACCACAGCCAGGCCTCAGGGTTGATGGGCTCACCCACAGTGCCTAGCACCTTCAAGGATGCCCGGCTGTGCCTTGGGCAGGGGGTTGAGAGAGAGAAGGCCCTGAGTACCACTGGGAACCAGGACACACATGCCCAAGCCCTCCTCTTGCCCCCTCCTCCATTCCAGTCAAAGAGTTGGGACAAGGGAAAGAAAGAGCTTGTGTACAAAGGCAAGTATCCAGATCAGGTTGCCCGGGGGCAGCAACTGGGGAGGAGCCTTACTTGGTGACAGGCTCGTCTCCGTACTTCATGAGCAGACGGATGGCCGTGGGTGCTGTGTAGAACTTGGTCACCTTGTATTTGTCCACAATGTTCCACAGGCGGCTCACATCCGGGTATGTGGGGATCCCCTCAAACTGACACCAGTGAAGCTGGTTATTCCCAGTCCTTCTCAATAGTTCTTCCATTCCCCTACAACTCCATCACATTCAGTATTTTACCCTTTCTCACCCACTGTGTCTTCACTCCCTGACCAGACAAGCCACAAGACCTTGCTAGTCAGGATGCACACCCCCCTCAGGACACCTGTTTCTCTGGGAAGCAAATCATTGCATAAGAGTTTCCCTACTTCTACATTGAGTAGCACTGGAGGGTGGTCACCCAGGATAATCTCTTCCCTTCCCCAGCTAGGCCAGGTGGCCATGGGCTCCAGCTCGCTTCTTACCAGAACACTGGTGGCACCATTGGCCAGTGGCCCATAAGTGACATAGGAATGGCCAGTGATCCAGCCAATGTCTGCTGTGCACCAGAACACGTCTTCTGCATGGAAGTCAAACACATACTTGAAGGTTGTGGCCACATAAAGCATGTAGCCCCCAACTGTGTGTACCACACCCTGTGGGAGAAACAGAGCCTTGGGTTAGCACCTTGTACCCACCCCCATTGACAACCATATGGCCACTGGAACAGATAGGGGAAGATCCTCCTCGGAGATACTAATCCTACTGGCACCCATTTCTTTTTTCTCCTTTAAAATTTTCATTTTTTTAATTTGATAGGCAGAGTTACAGACAGAAGAAGAGATAGAGAGAAAGGTCTTGCGTCTGCTGGTTCACTCCCCAAATGGCCACAACAGCTGGAACTGGGCTGATCTGAAGACAAGAGCCAGGAACTTGTTCTGGGTCTCTCACACAGATACAGGGGCCCAGGCACTTGGGCCATCTTCTGCTGCTTTCCTAGGCCATAAGCAGAGAGCTGGATTGGAAGTGGAGTAGCTGGGACACAAACCCATGTGGGATGCCAGGGCTGTAGGTGGAGGCTTAGCCTACAATGACACAGTGCCGGCCCCCAGCACCCATTTCAAAGTACCCTTCTCCCATCTCCTTTTCTCTGTGCTTCTGTCTCCTTTATCACACTCCTGATATCATGCTTATCCATGAGCCTATCATTCATATCCACACTCTTGATGATATTTCTGAGCCAAATATCACTCTTACACATATGAATGAATGCTTCTAGAACACTCACATCTAATAGCCTCCATTTTATATTTGTGCCCACATTCAATTACACGTTGGCAGAGTGAGTGTAAAAAAAAAAAAAAGGCAACACCATTTGCTTACTCCATCCCTAACCCATCTCTAAGAAGGAGAGACCAAAACTGTATTTATAAAGATCTACTGGGGGCCGGTGCTATGGTATAACTGGTAAAGCTGCCACCTGCAGTGCTGGCATCCCATATGAGTGCCGTTTCTAGTCCCGGCAGCTCCACTTCCGATCCAGCTCTCTGATATGACCTGGGAAAACGGTAGAAGATGGCCCAAGTCCTTGAGCCCCTGCACCCACATGGGAGACCCGGAAGAAGCTCCTGGCTCCTGTCTTCGGATCAGTGCAGCTCCAGCCGTTGCAGCAAATTGGGGAGTTAACCAGTGGATGGAAGACCTCTCTCTCTCTCTCTCTCTCTCTCTCTCTCTCTGTGTGTGTGTGTGTGTGTGTGTAACTCTGACATTCAAATAAATAAATCAATCTTTTAAAAAGAAGATCTACTGAGGGATACTGTAAGTATATGGAGAGAAGAGTACAGGGATAGGGTAGGTGGAAGGTAGAGTGACATAGCTTTCAACTCTTTCAAGTCAGCAGAGTCAGAGTTTTCTTAAGTGTTTCCATCTCCCACATCGAGCCCTGGCAGGGGACTAGATTAAACAGTGTGTCACGTGGGGGCGGGCATTTGTCTCAGCAGCTTCAGTCACCACTTTAGACACTCACATCCCACATTCCATACTGGAGTGCCTTTTGTGAGTCCCAGCTACTTCACTTCCGATCCAGCTTCCTGCAGATGTACAGCCTGGGAGGCAGCAGATAAAGCTCAAGTACTTGGATCTTTGCCACCCATACGGGACACCCAAATGGAGTTCTGGGCTCCTGGGTTTGGCCTGACTCAGCCCTGGCTGTTGCACTGTTGCATTTAGAGAATGAACCAGCAGATGGAAGAGATATCTCTCTCTCTCTCTCTCTCTCTCTCTCTCTCTAACAAAATGAAAGTACATATTTTCAAAAATAGTGTCCATGTGGAAGGAACTGAACTCTACAAGCTATGGTCTTAGAAGCCCAAGAGAGATCCCTATGCCTATCCTTGACTTTGAGTTGACAGAACAATTGTGTTTTGACTAAACCATGCGGGCATGTGCAAGGGACATCCATGTCAGTCACACAAATTGGTTCTTTTCCCCTTTTCAGGGGACCATGAAAGCCCCCAGCTGCAATGTCTCATTCTAGGCTTCACTTCCTAGTGATTGAGGATTTTGCCTTCATTTGATTGGGAAAAGATGTGACTTTTCTGAAACTTAAGATTGTAGAGTACAATTCACGTTGTAACATGCTTCCCCAGGAACTCACTTTTCACCACTACACAATACACACACACACACACACACACACATACTTGCCTTGGGTTTGCCTGTGGAGCCACTAGTGTACAGGATGAAGAGTGGGTCCTCGGCATCACACCACTCAGGCTCAAACTCATCCCCTGCCTCTTGCATGAGTTCATGCCACCACAAGTCAATCCCTTGGTTCCAAGAGATCTGCAGGGAGGGAACAGCAGTGGGCAAGGAAGAACTGTAAACAGCTAAAGATGGGGGCAGGGGGAGACCAGGAGACACCTTTACCCTGCATCTGGAGGTGCTAGGGTGGGACTGGTAATGGGGGTGCAAGAAGGGAGGGAGGGACCCTCAAAGAATGGAACAGACAGAGAACAGGAGCAGAGCAGCAGGCTTTCCCAGGCACTCCCAGCACCCCGCCATCGTTCCTCCTCTTCTACCCCAGAACTATCCAAGCTCAGGCTATGGTGGGTCTTTTGGTTGGTCCCGTCCCATCCTTCAGTTCTCAGCTGGAATGTCACCATCTTGGATAGCCTTTACCTGAGCAGTATCTGTAGATACCCACCTACTCCCACTATTATTATTGATCACAGCACTATGTTTCTTTGCCACACAGCATGTATTTCCAATTATTTTATTTAATCATTTAGTGACCTCTGTAAGAGCAGTGGCATGTCTCCCCCCACCCCTTTTGTCTCTGTAACACCTAGCAGAGTGCCTGAAACTCAAAGGGCACTCAGTAAATTTTGTTGGATGAATGACTGTGTGTACACAGGCCTGCATACACACATGTGTACTTAAGGGGCTAGTGACTCATCAGCAGGGAGGCATACACCACACAACTCAGAAATGCACAGTTAGTCAGAGTCTGCAGGTGAAGCAGGCATGTGACCCTATCAGTTAGTAGTCAAAGAAGTCAGCAGTTCTTGACCAAGCACTTGTTCCTATATACTCAGACTCCATCCACATCTGTTGGCTCCTATCCTCACTCTGCCTTTGCCCATATGCCAATGGTACTAATGGGTTTTCCCATAGCAACTGTTGCTTCAGGGGACAAGTTCCTTTCAACAAGAAGCCTTGCTTCCAGTTGGTGAAGGACCAAGGTTGACTTCTCCCAGGAGAGAGATGTCCTGCTATACCTGAATGCCTTTGATGATGATTTCTGGACCTGTTATCCTGTCTCTAAATTATCCTTTGAAATTGTTTTTCTTTCCAGGCTATAGCACCTTTTTGAACACCAGGTTTTTTTTTATTCCAGTTTATTCTCTCCTGAATGAAGTGAGAGTATCTGAATTTTCCAAATTTTTCACTGAACTTCAAGTTTTGCCACTTCCTATCTATATGATCTTGGGCAAGTCATTTTAACTCTTTATTAAAATGAAGATAGCCATTCTTACCCTAATGACCTCACAGGATTTGGGAAACATCAAAAGAAAAAGATACTATCTAATAAATACCATGCCTTGGGTTGTCCCAACAAGTAGGGAAAGATTGGAGTCAGGCAGGGGGAAGACTGATGCATGTCAGGAGGGAAAAAGGTTGGTTCAGTGACCACTGGGAGATAAATTTAAGGTTATGTTGATGGGAACTGTTTGGGGTTTGCTTTAGCTGTTGCAGAGCCCTTTCATATTCATCAGATTCTTGAATGTTCAATGGTCTTGACTAGATATTGCCTAGCCATTGCCATCTAAGAGAAATGCCCTTCTCCTACTACATGATTATAATCTGATTCTTGTGTGCCTATTTTGTTTAAAAACCTCAGTGTTACACACATACCTTGATCAATTGGAGGCTATCTCTCTAACCATTCCTCTCTCTCTGTTCTACCTGCCTCTAGAGAATTTGAAGTTTCTGACATATGAGTATCATAAGAATGGTAAGTTCAAGTGAGGGTGCTTTAAAAATAAAAAGAAAGGAGGGAGTGGATGGGTGGGTGGGTGTTTGGCCTAGTGACTAAAGCCACCTGTTAAGATGCCCAGGACCCACAACAGAGTGTCTGGGTTCCATACCTGGATCCAGCTCCTGATTCCAGATTCCTGCTAATGCATAGCCTGGGAGGCAGCAGTAATGGCTCAAGTAATTGGGTTCCTGCCACCATTGCTGGAGATCTCAACTGAATTCCTGGCTCCTGGCTTTGCCTCATATCCCAGCTCCATCACTGTGAGCTTTTGGGGGAATGAGCCAGTGGACAGGAGCTTTCTCTCTCTCTCAAATAAATAAAAAAAAATTAAGTAAAATAATAAGAAAGCTAGAAAACATAAGACTACCCTATTTTTTTAATGTGTACATTGCCACATGGATAATTTTGTTCCTGCCAAATGGTCACTTGAGATGAGATGAGGGCATTAATGTGTTTAAGCAGAATTATGTCAATATTGCTTTGGAGAAATGGGGCTGGACTATAGTGCTATGAACCATAGGCATGAGGTACATGAAAGAGCAAGGCATGGCTACACTGTGGCTCTGCAATGAAAGGACTCTTGTAATCTTATATAACTGTTTCCTTTGTGGGTGTGTGTGTACAGAAGACTAAAGGGGGGTGTGAAGCCAATAACTAGCACCAGGAAGCAGGATGCACTCAACTGGTGAAACAAACGTTGATTGTGAATTAGGTGTGTGCCTATGACGCCCAACGCTTTGAACCAGGAAAAGATTTGAATACTCTGAAATAAAAATTGAGCAGTTGGCCTTTATCCTTGGACCAGGATGGCCTCAGGAAGGGAAGCCACCAGGTATAAAAGAGGAATATGAAAGAGTTCATAGGTGAAATGATTGAGGAGGGCACCTGTGAGCTGTGCCAGACCCTGCCTTGAAGATTGCTAAAAGATAAAGGCATTTGGAGCTCTGCCAAGATTTCTGTAGCTTTTACCACAGTTCTCATATCAACAAACTTGGACTTTGCAAGTCTATTTTTGTGTTCTTTGGGTTTTTATTTTTAGTAACCTATTGGTTTCACCTGCAAAAACCAAAAATACAGGAGCCTATGACCTCTGTGTTTACAGTGTTAAGAATTACAGAAGTGTGTTGCTTCTTTTCAGGTCTCTCTTTTAGAAATGCTAACCTATTTGCTATGTTACCAGGGAAGAAATAACAGCTAACATGTGTCGAGTAGTCCCTATGTGCCAAGCACCTTACATACATTGACAAAACCCTATTAGATAGGACAATTACTATCCTTATTTTATATATGGGAGAAGGAGGCATGAGAGCTTAAGTAACTTTCCCAAGCTTACAAAAGTGGCAGGTGGCAGAGCCAGGATTGGAATTCAAGTTGTCGGGCTCTAGAATCTATGCTCTAAACCGCTGTTTGCTATCTCTTTCAGAAGGGGTTTAAGTCCCTGCCTGCGTTTTAAAAGGAACACAGTGTCCCCTGGGAATTGGATATGTCTCCACAGAGAAAGGGGGCTTACACTGACCATTAGCCTAAGAGGTTAAGCATAGCAGCTTTGAGTAAGATGCCCTGTGAGGATGGTACAACCCACAAGAACAGTGGAATTTATTTTTTATTTTAGTATGGGAAGCCATTTCCTTTCAAGCACGTGTGATCATCTCTCCATACTGACAAGGCAAGTGAAGCCCAGAGAGGAAGGTGATGGATTCAGAGTTACTATGCTATTTGTAAACTCCCAAGTGGCATACAAATGTATTTAGGAATTTTCTTCACTCTGTCCTATGAAACCTAGTTTTTGATTTACAGTACACATCTAACTGTCCAACTTGACAGTGAATTACCAAAGTCAGGATAGGTACCTCCTTTGCCTGTTCTCTGTCTCTCTTGGCTTTGCCCTCGCCAAGTGCTCAGCGAATGCTTTCTGACATGTTATCTGCTGCCCCCCAACCCCGCCCCGCCATGCCACAAAGACCCTGAGCAGCAGGGTCACGGGGGATGTCTGCTGCAGCCTCTCTGAGGTCCTGGCTGTATGCTAGTTTACAGACGCCGCAGCAGGCATTTGATTTCACAACTTTTCAGAGTGGCTTGGATGTCAAGGGGCCCCAGGGAAGAGGAATGGGGTTAGGTCTGGCAGCCCCCTCAATGAGGCAAACAGGCAAACAGCATAAGGACACACAGACAAGCACACAGGGAAGCAGTGCCCAAGGCAGTGCAAGTGGATACCTGGGGCCGGACACGCTTGGATTTCTCTTTCAGCTTACCCTGTTAAGAGCCCACGGAAAGGCTGGTGAGCAGGGTTCGAGAATAGGGGAGTAGGAGGAATAGATGAGTGCACCCCAACCCCCTGGCTGCCTCATTTCCATCAGGCTCCCCTCTTGCTGGTCCCTCAGCCTCCATTTCCTGATCCTGATTTCAAATCATATACCTGCAGAATCCCTAACATTGACAGGGCTCTCCAATGTCCCTAAACTAAATGACAACTTCTGTAGCCCTAAGACTACTCAGGGTTCCTCCAGTCACAGAATTTCAGTAATCTTTTGTCCTTCTGAACTCCCATAACTTTCATCCCATATGCCCCTCAGACCTGGAGGCCACCTTTGGGACTTTCTATGTTTCTACCAGAAGCACTGGATCCAAAGCTAATAAAAGCTAGACCCTGATCCCTCAAAGGTGGGCATCACCTGGGCCACAGAGGTAGCCTACTCCAAGTCACAGCTCCAAAATCAATCCAATCATTCAAGTCAGCACATTTCCAACTCAAGTCCTGGGGTCCCCTCTGCCATCAGGAGACCCAAATCAGCACAAAATTCTCTTCCACATTCTCTTGTGCTAACTTTCCAAGGTCCAAGGGTCTCTCTCCCCATATTCAAGATCAAAATCCCCTATTCCCAGCCAGCCCTGCCAGGGGACACATTTCTAGGATTGCTCCCAGATCTCAGCATAATAATGAAGAAGCAAAGGAGGATGTCAGGAACTTCCTGGGCAGGATGAAGGAGGCAATTTGAGCCCAGAGGAGGGCATAACAGTGCCAGACTCACCTGGACATCCGGGCACGACCTCTTAATTGGGGGAGATTGGCTGGGAGAGGCACCCATGCCCAGTTCTGCCCGCCCCAGGTGCTTGACCACAATGCAGCATTTCACTGGGAAACCCCTGGAGGAAAGAAAAGCCTGAAATGGTGACCTGGTTGGCTCAAAAGAGCTTTGGCAAGACCGACTCATGTCCTTCTTGGGTAAGGGGGACAAAGGAAAGCTGGCACCATGGGGAGGTACAGTCAACCCAGGGAAATAGCCAATGAGCCAACAGACTTACTTCTCTCGACACTTCTCCAGGGCCTCGTCAGCCAGTTCCTTCAGGTTCACAAGCTTTTCCCCCCTGTAGAAGGCATCTTTGGGGAGCAACAGACATTTCAGGCCTTAGTAGGTGCCACACTCCCCAATATGCCCAGTGTCCACAAAGCCCTTCCTGTATGAACCTCTTTTTAAAATAGTTATATATTACTTTATTTGAAAGGCAGAGAGAGACAAACAGAGATCTTCTATCCACTGGTTCACTTCTCAAATGACCACAAAGCTGGGGGTGGGCCAAGCTGGAGCCAGGAAACTTGAACTCCATCCGGGTCTCCCACATTGGTGTCAGGGACTGAACTACTTGAACCCTCACCTACTGCCTTCCAGGTTGTGCATTAACAGGAAGCTGGATCAAAATCAGAGCAGGAACCCAAACCTAGGAACTCCGATAAGGATGCAGGCATCCCAAGTGGTATCTTAACCTCTGTAGCAAACACTCCAGCCACTGAATCGGCCTCTTGACTCTGGTTCTCAGCTGGTTTGGGCTGAGAGGATCAGCTGAGGTGGGACTAGGAGAGAAAGGGCAAACAGTCCCTACTCTTCAGGCTGAACAGCCCCAAAGCAACAAGCTGACTGGGGACCAAGTCTTGAGGTGTAAGTGTTGGGGGTGGAAGCAGTGGTTCTGGAGAAGGAGTGGGAGAATTAAGTCACCTGTAGTGATAAGAAGGCTGCAACTGGAATCCAGGATCCGTTCACACAGAGACTCTGCAGAGAAGCCTGCAAACTAGGGAAGGGGAGAAAGATTAGGAGAAAGAAGGAGGCCCCAGAGATTTCATGAACAAGGAGAGGAGTTGTTTATGAAACATCCAGGATCTCCAAGCCAGAACCCTAGAAGAAACTGAAAAACAGATATGAACCTACACCATACCAACACTCTATGTTCCCCTGTTCGATATTTAAGACCCTCCATCATCTAGCCCAATCTACTTCTCCAGAACCCCAATCCCACCCCTCCCTTTTTTCACCAGCCCAAACTCCTACCACAATGGAGTGCAAAGCCCCAAGGCGGGCACATGCCAGCATGGCCACCACAAGCTCCAAGATCATGGGCATGTAGATGGACACCCGATCACCCTTTCGAATGCCTGTAAGTAAAGACACAGAACATACACCATGGAACCTTCCTGCTGCTGCTTGCTCCCTCTCATCCAGCTGACCTCCAACCCAGCTGACTTTTTCTATTCCTTGTCCTCTACCCACAAGTCCTGAAGTACCTCCAAAGGGCAGGCTCCTCAGCCCCTTTACCACACTCCCAAACTCACCCTGTTTTCGGAGAACATTGCTGAACCGACATACTTGGACGAGAAGCTCGCGATATGTGATCTGGGTGGTCTCCCCTGGCTCATTGCCCTCCCTGAGATACACCAGAAAGAACCAGTGATTAAAGGTACAACTTTATCCTCAAATACAAAACAAAAACAAAAAGAATATAAGAACAGCCATAAGATCCAGCTAGTAACACCAAGGCCTGGGAATGCCCTGAGAGGGGGAGCCATGTGCCACCACACCTGTGCTGAATGGAAAGCCCTTGTCTTTCAAGATACTTTATACACGTTTGTGTGATTGGAAAATGCACCATCTATCTCTGAGCCTCATTTTTTTATGCTGATAAAATGAGGCGATAGTTTCTTCCCTTGCATCCTTGGGATGTGTTAAGGAGAAATGGTATCACAGATGTCATTCTTTCTGATGAGGTATCAAGATTGAACTGGTGTTATTCAGAATACGGTCTCAAATCACTCAGGGAATTTGTTTAAAATGTAGATTCCAGGGCTGGTGCTGTGGGGTAGGGCATAAAGCCTCTGCCTGTGGTGCCGGCATCCCATATGGGCACTATTCGTGTTCCAGCCGCTCCTCTTCCGATCCAGCACTCTGCTAATGTGCCTGGGAAAGCAGTAGAAGATGGCTCAAGTCCTTGGGCCCCTGCACCTGCATGGGAGACCTGGAAAAACTCCTGGCTCCTGACTTCAGATCAGCGCAGCTCCAGTAGTTGCGTCCAATTGGTGAGTGAACCAGTGGATGGAAACATCCCCATCTCTCTCTGCCTCTCTGTCTCTCTCTGTGTAACTCTGATTTTCAAAGAAGTAAATAAATATTTTTTTAAAAGATGTAGATTCCTGGTCCCCAATTCAGACATTTTGACTTAGAATCAAGGGGTTTGAGAGTCTGCTTTTTTATTACAAGCTGGTACAAATAATCCACAGGTGCTTCTGGTGTGCATTTAAAGTTTGAGAATCACCACCTGCTATCAGGTAGGTGATTGTGTCTCCCTCCTCAGCTTTGGTTAGTATTCCTCCCCAGGCTTTAGCCTGGTTTCCTTTAGTCACTCCTTCATTTGTTTGGTCAACAACTACAATGTGGTTTTACATACACAGTAAAAAGGCACAGCAGGATCCCTGAGATCATGGCGCTTATATTCCAATGACAGCACAGGTAATACACAAGTAACAAATAGAACCAAGGTAATTTCAGATTATGCTCAGCATTATAACGGAAATAAAGCAGAATAATAATATAATGAGTAGGGAGAAACATCTTTTGAAAATATACTGTCTTAAGAAACTGTCATGATTGTATGCAAAGATTTATCTGTAAGAATGTTTCCAGGGGCTGGTCTGTGGCATAGCAAGTACAGCCACTGCCTGCAGTGCCGGCATCCCATATGGGCCCCAGTTTGAGTCCCGACTGCTCCACTTCCAATCTAGTTCTCTGCTGTGGCCTGGGAAAGCAGTAGAAGATGGCCCTAGTCCTTGGGCCCCTGCACCTGTGTGGGAGACCCGGCGGAGGCTCCTGGCTCCTGATCCTCTCAGCTCCGGCTATTGTGGCCATTTGGGGAGTGAACCAGCAGATAGAAGACTCTCTCTCTCTCTCTCTCTCTCTCTCTTTGCCTTTGCCTCTCTGTAACTCTGCCTTTCAGATAAATACATAAATCTTTTTAAAAAAGTGAATGAAAAATTAGATTTTTAATACTATTCAAAAAAGGTAAGCACCTTACAGTTCCCAATTAAGCACAGGGTGGCAGTGATGGAAGAGCTGCTCTGCTCAAAGGACTGATCTCTTGGATAGGCCTGCATATGGGTATATACATATTTATGTTTTGATATTCTCATTTTTATACAAATGTGGCACACAATACACATTGTTCTGTATCTTGTTTTTAAATTGAGTATATATACATTCAATAACTGCACAAATCTTTAGTGTACAGTTTAATCATTTTGCTTCCTTAAATCTAACAATATAACTGGATATCATTCTCTGTCGAGACCCAAATAACTGTTTCATGCTCTTTGTCAGCTGTATACTATTCCATTACTTGTTGTACCATTACTTATTTAATAAATAAGAGCTTTATTGAACACCTTTATTCATATGTCATTTTACTCACTTGCTAATTTATCTGTGGATGAATTATTAGGAGAGGATTATTGTATCAAAAATGTGCATTTTAAGTATTGATAAATATTAGAGGATGACTACTTTAGATAAGATGGTCAGGAAAGGCCTCTCCATGGGGTGATATGTCAGCTAAGACCTGAACAATGAGAAGTAGGTAACCGTATTAATTTTGGGGAAGAGTATTCTAGACAGAGGGAATATCAAGTGGAAAAGCATTTAGGCCTATTCAAAGAACAGAAAGGAAGTATGCCTGGAGCACAGTGAGCAAGAAGTTATATAAGAGTGAGGGGTAGGCAGTAGCCAAATCATATAAGGCCCTGTAGGCAATGGTAATATGTTTGCATTTTATTGTAAGTAGGACCTTCCTGGCTTCCCTTCCACACAGATCTCAAGTGCACACCCAGTGTTACTGACCCACTCAGAATGCTCCTCCTCCTCCTTCGGAAACCTTTACCACATAGTCCCCCCTTACCCCTCAGCACTATAGGCCACACTGTGAGCCCTATCCTTTTTTACTACCCAACTAAAGTACTTGTGAAGAAGGTAACTGAAATCTAGAGAGATACAGTAGCTTGGCCAAGGTCACACAATAATAAGTGGCAAAGCCAAGAATAGATCCTTAGGTCTTCTTATTTCAAAGAGCAGGGCTCTTTCCTTCATGGTGTGAAGGACAGAGACAGGTAGGGAAGCCAGGCCTTTCCTTTCTGACAGAGGTTACACAGATTATCAGCCTCTTTCCAGCTTCTGGTTTGATGAGTCAGTTACTATCTTCTCCTTGGCTTGAGCACTCCTAGGGCTAAGAGGAGCCAAGCACAGAGAGCTCACTAACGTTGAGAAGGAACAGGGACAGAGGAAGTTGGCAAGTGGCCCCAAATGCCAGAGGCAGAAAAGCTATTGCTTAACCAGCCCTCTGACTGGTACCACGGGAACTTCAGAACATTTTCAGTCACAGCCAAATGCCAACCATATATGTACCTGTATATATGTCCATCCCCACATGTGTACCATAGATCATCCTACCCATGTGCACTCATGTAAAATCATACACACTGATAAACAAAATTCTAGATATAAAAGCTGCCCCCTCTGCACATAGAGGCACAAATGAGCCCAAATATATGCTCTCAAGACTCAAACATAGGCTCCTTGCAAATATGTGCTACATTCACACATCCACCTATGTGCACAGCTTGCCTTTTCAGAAACCCTCTTATCAAATACTTGGTTTATTTTTTCATGAAATTTTCTATTACTTGAAAATATCTCATATATTTAACTTACTTGTATATTATCTGTGCCTTTCACTGGAATATAAGCTCCATGATAGCAGAGAGCCTGTGTGTCTTGTTCACTGCTACTTCCCTAGTATCTAGAATACAGCCTGATACACAGAAGGTGCATAGGAACAGGTAACACAACCTATGCAGGGACAGCTTACTTGAGCCCACTTCCAGTCACACATACATACCCCCATCCCGTCCTCTCCCCTGACACACAGCGTGCATTCCTCTCTCTTGCTAGGGCTCAAGTTGTACATTATTGATGTAGGCACCTTACTTAATCCAGTATCCTCTTTCTCTGACACACACACCAGGCTGGGGCCCCTGACTAACTGAGAGGAAGGGGGAGTCAGGGCACTGGCCTGCCACAACACCCCAGGCTTTCCAGGATATTAGAGCTCTTAAAAGAACATCCAGTTTACTCTCCTAATTCTGAGAATCAAAGAGGCTGTTAGCTATGCTTGGGGTCACAGAGTGGGATGTGGCAGAGCAGGAACCAAGACTCAAGATCCACGCCTCTTTTCTTCTACACTGGGAGTTGTAAGCTCAAAAACTGACAGGGTAATATAAATTGCAGGTAATGTAAATAAGAGAACTGGATCATATGAAAGAAACCTTTTTTATAAAGGCAGGAAATAGTTCCCTTTCCTCTTAACTTTTCTATAAGAAAACAGCGGCACATGTTCAACAACACAGCTTCAGTTTGAGAACAACAATAGAGAGGGGCAGGAAGCAGAGAACCATAGAATATACGTCTGGCAAAAGGAAGCATCAACTTAGCTGCTGTTGCCCACTAACAAAAAGGGCTCAGTGTTGCCAACTTTTTCAAGAGAGACCTAGAATCCTAGAGACCTAGAATTTTTGTCAAAACTTCTGGTTTTTAAGTGTTGACAACTAATTATAGAAAGCTTTAAACACTGAGTCTAATAAAACTATTAATGAGCGATCTGATGAACTACGGACTGGGAACTTTGAGTGTAAACAAACTACTTCCCCTTCACCTGGAGGCCATATGGTTAGCGAGAAAACCCAAGGCGCACACTCATTAGGGCCTTCTCATTTTCCTCCAGGGAGACCTCTCCAAACCTCATCCTTACATTCTCCAAATTTACTTTAATTTATTATTAATTTAAAATATATTTATAATTAAAGTACTCTTCACATCTGTTTCTACCATCCTAGTCCAAAACTGCCATTAGGTAAGTCAGATCATGTCACTCCTCTGCTCAAAATGCTCATATCACTTCTTGTATTATTTTGAGTAAAAATCAAAGTCCTCACAATGACTCACGAGTTACTAAATAATACAGTCCCTTCTTACCTCTCTGTTCTCATTTAGTACTATTCTCTCTTCTTCCCCTCCCTCTGTTCCAGTCACACAGCCTCCCTAGGTGTTTGCCAAAAGCACCAAGCACTCTTAGCCTCAGAGCCTTTGCCCTCCACTAGGAGCGGTCTTCCCCTAGATAACCACATGACTTATTCCCTATCTTTGAGTTGTTGCTCAACTGTTGGCTTCTCAGTGAGGTCATCCTTGCCTACCCCATATCAAAGAGTACACTCTCCTCCCGGCTGACCACCAGCCCCAGGTGCTACAAATTAACACCTCCCATGAAGTCTCCCTTAGTTTCTTTTCTCCCCACCCACCCCCACACTGAAAGCTTTCCCTTCCTTGCAA